AGCAGCAAAAATAATGTTTTTTTTAAAAAAAACTTTTTGCTGCCCGGATTGTAGCCCCCGATAGGATAACTCTCATCACAACACGATTTGGTGCAGCGGTGCAGGCATCAGGTAGAAAGCGGGAGAGAGTCAGCTGGGTGACCCTGGGCCAGTCCCTCTTTCTCAGCCCTAGGAAGGTGGGAATGGCAAACCCCTTCTGAAAAAGTTTGCCAAGCAGGGAGTCCTGATCCCATCCAGAACAAATGGTTGTCCAAACTTTTCTTGAAAAGCTCCAGTGATGGAGCACCCACAACTGAACTGAGCCAAGAGTTCATAGACAACTCACCAAGCATGTTGCTTTTTGTCCTGCCTATAAAGTCGCAAGCAGCATACAGATTGAACAGCATAGTGATCACAGTTGGGATTGGACTAGAAGATCTCCATGGTCCCTTCTCACCCTGTAATTCTGTGACTTGTATAATAATGCATGAACTGGCAGAAAACAGCTGAAGAAAAAAAAATCTGAATGTTTTTCCTTCTCATGTTCAACAGGCTTTAAAAGATACCACACTGGCTTCGGGATCAGTCCAAATTCCTGGCAGAAAGATGGCTGTTGCAGAGGTGGCTCTAGTAAGAGATGCAGAGATGGGGAAGAAGTTTGCTATCGGGTGGGAGGGAAAAGGGGCTTGAGGAAATGAGCTGTTCAGGGGTTCAATTGGGCTACTAGTTCTGGGAGTGAAAATCTGGACAAAAGGGTTCACGCAAAATAGTTACTCTTGTGTATTAAAAATTAAGTGGCTTGGCTATGTTCATTTTAGTTTTAGACTTTGTTTGTTCCTCTGTTTCCAAGAAGTGGTATAAGCTGTATCTATCCTAGTGTGATAGTGCCTAAATCATATACTGAAAAATATCTTCTTTCATTGAAAGATGAAGGCACTAAACCAAAATCAACATTTGTGTTTGTTGCAGGTATTTGGATCCTTTTCAATAATGTCTGGATTCTCTCCATATGCTAAGCCATATTGTATGTGCTTCGTTTGTGGCAGATTGTGTAAATCGGCCCCTGTGACATAGTTACAATGTAGTCAAGCTACTTGTGGCTTATTCAGACAATTATGGTGAAAATCTTGCTTAGTGTGCTCCATAATAATAATATTGATGTAATGTGCTTTGCAGAGTTTTGTGTATGTATTATGTAGTAAAGTTTGAGGAAAAGTTTCTTTAGCTAGTGGTGACTTATTAATTAACCTTCGCTAAAGATATCATAGTGCAAATTCTGTCAGAGCGGACCATAATCACTCAGAAAATAATGTAGTTCTATTTGCTTACCTGTCAGATGGACGAGGAGAAATTTAAAGAGTGAAGTCAGCTGTTCCATCTTCCAAGGTGCCATAACAGATATTTCCCCCTTGATTTAAGTATTCTATTCAGATATGAAAATGGAATGTGACTTACCTGGAATAAACTATCACAAATCTGGAAAAAGAAAACCTTTATGGTAATTTCTTGCAACCTGCTTTCATTTGAATGCATTTGACTGCAATCCCATAATCAAGTCAATTTGCAATAGGTTATTGAGCACAAATCTCTATAATGCTATACTAATGGTCCAACTCCTACAAACTGTGTTGGCACAAAATGGGCCTTAGATAGTATTCATATTTGTTAAAAAGTAGTGATACAGGATATTTTCTGTGTTGGTAGGAGTTGGGATAGATGACTTTTGAGATTTTCTCTCCTGAGTTTTTCTAGTGATGTTCCTTTACTTTGTCTTTAACACAGAACATTCACTGTGTTAAAGAATAAATGAGGAGCAGATAAATATCCTCAGCAGTATCTTTTGTCTTTTAAGCATTGTAGAAGGACAGCCATGTTCTTCATTAACCAGACATCAGAAGAATTTGGCAGCATCTTTTCCAATCAGAACATTTTGTTAAAAGGCATAAGCTTTTGCAGCTGGAGTTTGCTTCATGGGGGTGTATGTGTGGGGTGTGTGTGTCCATTTAATCTTTCAATATCATTAGCTACTCTGAAAAGGTACTCCTGGACTCCTGATTTTCTTCCATGGTTTAGAGTAGGTGTGAAAGAGTTGTGAAGTACTGAGCAGAAATCCTGCATGTATGCATTGATGTAGGTGCAGGAATTCTTCCAGGAAAGATGACAATTCCCTTGGATCACTGGGAGGAACACACTTTTGCTGCTTTGCTAGTGTTGATTTTTCATTTTTGCGTGTGTATGTGTGTGAGGTTATATTTCTAAAGATTTACACAAACTTCTAATACACACGCAGCTGCCTTGAACACTTTAAAAGCATTTTTAAAAGACAAGATATATTCGGTTTTATTGTATCTTCATATTATGAAATTAATCATAATTAGGACACTTTACATAGAATGAAAGCATGATTTCTTGTTTAAACCTTAAAGAAAAATTTCTCTAAGTAATCTGCAGTTTGGATTAGGGCATTGCCACATCTACTCATTCTTATTAGATATTGCTTTATATTTGGTCAGAATCCAATAGATATAGCTTTTCATATTTAGATATCATTGGGGACATCTCCCTTTCAGATTTCTGCCTATTATACCCTCTTTAGCATGCAGCATTTAAGAGTCTGTGCATAAAAAAGGGGAGGATTATCAGCAGTTATCAGCAAGATTTCCTTTAAGCCCCAGGATATGTTGAGATTGCTGCTATTGCTCTGGAAATCATTTAAATCATTGCCACAAAGGTCCCTTTTTTTCTTAAAGATTGCCAGGTTCAGTCTATGCAAGGTGGCATTATTTCCATTCTCTCCAAAAGAGAACAAAAGATTTTCTAAATATGCTTACCTGAACTGATGCCAATAAAGGATAATATTTTGCAGCTCAGGGTTGAAATGAGGGGTCCTTGGTGCTCCCTTGCTTGTTTTCTTGCAGACCTTTCATTACCCAAACTAGCTAACATCACCAGTATTAATACTGTGCTAGGACTAGCACTGATGATGTTACCTAATTGGGTTCATGAAAGGTCTGCAAGAAAACAACCGAACTCAGAGCACCAAGACCCCTGTATTTGAACTGAATCCTTTGTGTTCAGGGTGATTTTCTTACAAGTAAAAATAGCTAGGATTTCATCCTTATTTTACAGTTCAGATGGGCAGTTAAGCATCCTGTGGATGCTTGCCAAACTTAGTACCTACGTGATCTTAAAACACAAATAATAAACAAGGAAGAAATTGTCATATTGCAGTGCCCCAACTTTCTCATATTTATTTACAGCAACATTCCCAAAATGCCCCATAGGAACCATAGAGAATTGGTGAAGAGAGGTCTGGTGAGAGAGGGGTCCGTATCCATTTTGTGAGGAAAAAAAATCTTTCAGCAGCCATTCTGGGCATGCCTATCACATCCTCTCAAAATCACAAACCGGTTCCCATCCACAAAAGTTTGCTTAGCCTTCCTTAAGTCATGTGATGCTTTTTCAATTGGCCATTGCCTTTAATTACATAAATATATGCAGTCCATGCTTATTTCATTCTACAAGTTAATGTTGATATGGTAATTTATTGGTGAATATAAAACTAATGAGAGGCAGTTTGGTCTGGTGGTTAAAGTACCGCACTAGAAACCAGGAGACTGTGAGTTTCTAGTCCAGCTTTAGGCATGAAAATTGGCAGTGGGACTTTGGGCAAATCATACTCTCTCAGTCCAGGCCACCTCACAGGGTTGTTGCTGTAGGGAAAATAGTAGGAAGAAGGAGTATTAAGTATGTTCGCCATTTTGAGTTATTTATAAAAATAATAAAGGTGATATTATATATATGGACTTCAGTAAGGCATTTGATAAAGTAGATCACAACCTACTACTTGATAAGATAGAAAAATGTGGGTTAGACAGCATCACCACCAGATGGATCCGTAGCTGGCTGACCGGCCATACTCAGTGTGTGGTCCTCAACGGAACCACATCTACATGGAGGGAAGTGTGTAGTGGGGTGCCCCAAGGCTCTGTTCTGGGCCCAGTGCTCTTCAGCATCTTCATCAATGATTTGGACGAGGGGATAGATGGGGAACTCATCAAATTTGCAGACGACACCCAGCTGGCAGGAATAGCCAACATTCCAGAAGACAGGCTTAAGATACAGGAGGATCTGGACAGACTAGAGCACTGGGCGCTATCTAACAAAATGAAATTCAATGCTGAAAAAAGTAAAGTTCTACATTTAGGCAAGAAAAATGTACAGGTATAGCATAGGGGGTACCTTGTTCAATAGTAGCAACTGTGTGAGGGATCTCGGAGTCCTAGTGGACAATCACTTAGATATGAGCCAGCAGTGTGCTGCAGCTGCCAAAAAAGCCAACATAGTGCTAGGCTGCATTAACAGAGGGATAGAATCAAGATCACGTGAAGTATTAATACCACTTTACAATGCCTTGGTAAGGCCACACTTGAAATAATGCATCCAGTTTTGGTCACCACGATGTAAAAAAGATGTTGAGACTCTAGAAAGAGTACAGAGAAGAGTAACAAAGATGATTAGGGGGCTGGAGACTAAAGCATATAAGGAAAGGCTGCTGGAATTGGGTATGTCTAGTTTAATGAAGAGAAGGACGAAGGGGGACATGATAGCAGTGTTCCAATATCTCAGGGGCTGCCACAAAGAAGAGGGAGTCAAGCTATTCTCCAAAGCGCCTGAAGGCAGGACAAGAAGCAACGGATGTAAACTAATCAAGGAGAGAAGCAACCTAGAACTAAGGAGAAACTTCCTGACAGTTAGAACAATTAACCAGTGGAACAACCTGCCTCCAGAAGCAGTGAATGCTCCAATACTGAATGTTTTTAAGAAGAGACTGGACAGCCATTTGTCTTAAATGATATAGGGTTTCCTGCCTGAGCAGGGGGCTGGACTAGACGACCTCCAAGGTCCCTTCCAACTTTATTATTATTATTATTATTATTATTATTATTATTATTATTATTATTATTATTATTATTATCCCATTATTCTTTGATTTATAGTAGGAATAACTGATCCTCTTTTGGTTCAAGGTTCCAGAAGCCTTTATGGAGGTGACTGTGCGTTCAAGTGATGTGCAGCACACACATTTGGGTCGCCGACAGAAAACATCATACAAGAACAGTGTGCAGGGGAACGATTGGACCGCGGCCTCCTTAGGTAAAGTCTACAAAATGATAAATAGTTGTTGAAATCAACAAACCATTAGCACTAGGTGGTGTTCTCCTTCACTTTGGAAAACTTTAAATGGTTGTCATTTTTCAAAGCTCGCCTATTGTAGAACACCTGCTTTATATAGGTAGTCCTTGATTTAACAACAGTTCATTTAGAGACCATTAGAAGTTATAACGGTACTGAAGAAAGTGATTAATGATCTTTTTCACACTTGTGACCGTTGCAGCACCCCCATGGTCACGTGATCAAAATTCAGATGTTTGCTAACTGACTTATATCTATGATGGTTGCAGTATCATGTGGAAATGTATGAAGCTGACATAAATTAAATGATCCTCAGTCTAGCTTGCTCACATAATTTGTTCTATTAACTACTAACTGTTCTCAAGGATTTCAGTTAGGACTTGGAGTAAAAATAAATTATCTGGAGAAGCCAAATATTGAACCTCGACTTACAATCACAATTGAGCCCAAATTTTGTGTTACTAACAGTTGTTAAATGAATTTTGCTCCATTTTACAACTTTTCTTGCCACCGTTGTTAAGTGAATCACTGCAGTTCTTAAGTTGGTAACATGGTTGTTAAGTGAATCTGGCTTCCCCATGGACTTTGCATGTCAGAAGGTCACAAAAGGTCATGACATGACCCCGAGATTCTGCAACAGTCATAAATACATGCCAGTTGCCAAGCCTCTGAATTTTCATCATGTGGACACAGGGATGTTGCAACGGTCTTAAGTGTGAAAAACGGTCATGTCACTTTTTTCAGTGCAGTTGTAACCTCAAACGGCCACTAAATGAATGGCTGTAAGTCAAGAACTATCTGTACCAATATTCCATATGGAGTGTCAGAGATTAAGTCTCATGCCAAAGATCATTCAGCGGGTACATGAATCACAACTTGGTCCCTGTTGCTGTGTTGCACCAGCTCTCAGCCAACCCATCTGCCTTTTTTGATCTCCTGCAGGCCGACCTCATTGCCACCCCTCTGAGCTGCTCTCCCGCCTGGATCGTGGAGAAGAGGCCTGGGTTCCACAACTCCAGAGCTCTGATGAAAGTGCAGATGAAGGCCCAATTAAGCCAACATTGAAGCAGTTACCGACGGGAGGCACCTGGTGGGCTCGATATCGGAGTCCTGTGACATACCCCAGTTCAGAGTCTGCAAACTCAGGTTAGAACTGCTGCTGAAGGCCCCTGGCTTAAAGGCCTAAGGCACGGGTCGGCAACCTGTAGTTCCAGAGCCGCAAGTGGCTCTTTGAGCCTTCTCCTGCGGCTCCCAGCCTCCTCCTTCATTTGCAGAGACAGAGAGAGGCACTTCCGCTTCCCTTCTCTCTCTCTCCCTCTCTCCCTCTCTCTCTCTCTCTCTCTCTCTCTCTGTCTCTGTAAAAAAGAGAGTGGCCTCATGCTGTTCTCCGACAAGCTGACAAGCTTATTGGGCAGGGCTCCTGCCTTAGCTGCATTTCTGCAGGAAGCAACAGCAGCAGCGCTCTCTCTCTCTCTCTCTCTCTCTCTCTCTCTCTCTCTCTCTCTCTCTCTCTCTCTCTCTCTCTCACACACACACACACACACACACACACACACACACACACACAGTGGGGGAAGAGGATTGGCAGACCAAGGGCAGGAGAGAGCCGGCCCAATAAGAATGTGTGTCAGCTTGTCAGAGAACAGTGTGAAGCCAGCTTGCTAGGGGAGCAGAAGATGGGAGAGAGGGAGAGAGGGGGGAGAGAGAGGGGGGGAGGGAGACAAAGAGAGAGAGAGAGAACTCATGCACAGCAGCCTCTATTTCTTTTTAACTAAACTCTTCAATCAAGCTCTACCTCTCCTGCGCGCGCATGCGCGCGCTCAGGTTTTGCAGCTCCCAGTGTTTTATCTGGGAAACGGGTCCAAGTGGCTCTTTGAGTGTTTAAGGTTGCCGACCCCTGGTCTAAGGAAAGGGCTACGTTCTAAGATACCATGAAAATTTTGCCATTTCAAGAGAGTAGAAGAGCAATCCAATTCTAGTAGTGGGATTGGATCCAGCTCATTGTCTGCATTCACATATGCTAAGTCACAATGACATTTGGTTTACCGTTTTGGCTTGGTGGGACGCATTGAACCAGCTATTGTGGTTTGTGAACTATGGCATATGGCAGGGGTCTCCAAACTTCAGCCACAGGTGACCTGGTTGTTAGCATTAGCACTCCACTTAAAACTCCGTCCCAACAAAAAGACCTGTTCACCTTTCCCCCATGCCAGGGGTCTCCAAACATGGCCACTTTTAAGACTTGTGGACTTTAACTCCCAGCAGGGCTGACTGAGGAATTCTGGGAGTTGAAGTCCACAAGTCTTAAAGTGGCCAAGTTTGGAGCTCCCTGGCATAGGGGTGAACAGCTCTTTCTGCTGGGAGGGAGAATCAGGTGGAGTGCTAATGGTAACAGCCAGGACATCTGTGGCTGAAATTGATGAAAATTGCCCATTTGGCTGATGAAATTTAAAGTACAACCCTAAGGAGTTCCAGGCTCACAGATCACCCACCACTGGATTAAATCGTAGCGATAAGAGGCTGGCTTTACATACAATAGAAACTTATTAATCAGGGGTTGGGGGTGCGCCTGTCAATCATCCTATGGACCATCAAGTTAAGCATCCTTCCAGCTGCCAAGTCCAAATTAATGGTTTTCAGTGGCTTGGCTGCTGCATTTTTGCATTTTCTTTTGGAAATATTGGAGGGTGAGGGAAATGGTGGGTCAACCATGACCAGAATGCTGCATGGAGATGGAGGACAGATAGGACTTCTCTAATGTGTTAACTTTCAGTAAACTCAAGCAAGCTGTAACAGGGATGGAAGCCTATTTTGTAGGCTTCTTTTTTGTAGGGCTCTTCAGGTGCCATATCTGAAGAGGTGCCAGCAAAGTGCAGGAAATCTGCAGCACTTCTTTTGAGGGCAAGAAAAAGTGAATGTTCCATCCGTGGAAGAAAGGACCTTTTGGCAGTTCAACGAACAGGCATTTGCTGCTTTGTCCCCAAGGAGATTGCTTGTTTGCCAAGCAGGGCTGTGGGCACAATGGTGCTCCTTCCTTCCTTCCTTCCTTCCTTCCTTCCTTCCTTCCTTCCTTCCTTCCTTCCTTCCTTCCTTCCTTCCTTCCTTCCTTCCTTCCTTCCTTCCTTCCTTCCTTCCTTTCTTCCTTCCTTCCTTCCATGGTAGACCCCTAGTGTAGACTGCAATAGTTGGGGGAATACTGTTCCAGGGGGAAGGAGTGGCAACAGAGGAGGCTCACTTCTGCGATTCCATAATATATTTCAAGGGGGGGGGGGAATTCTGGGTGTACCAACCCTGTTGGATCTTATGGGATAGTAAGAGACAATTGGAGAGATGCGCCCCCCCCAGAAAAAAAACAGGTCTTAATTAAAGATGACCATCATTAACAACCCTGAATTGCATTTAGAAGCCAAGTGGCACTAGTGCAGCTTGTGCACTAACAATATAACCCCCTTGCACTGCCACTTCCCCCCCCCTTTTATTTTTGGGACTGTAGATAATGATCAAGAAAGCGAAGAAGAGAAGCCGCATCGTGGAAGTGATCCTCATCGTGGAAGTTATCCTCATCGTGGAAGTTATCCTCATCGTGGAGGTTTTCAACCGACGATCCTTCGCCGAAACTTATTTAATAATTCCAAGGGGAGTGGATCGCAGAGTCTGAAGCCTAAAGAAGCCTATAAACATGGGTCCCAGTTGAAGAAGTCTTCACAAAGTCATCTGGGAAAGACAAAGGCAGAAACGGGCAATGCCAACGAGAGCTCAACCAAAGAAAGAGCTGGAGGAAGGGACCAGCAAGTCTCATGCCCTGATTGTGGACAAATCTTCAAGTCCAAAATATCTCGCGCCAATCACCAGAGGATACATACTACAATGAAGGCCTACACATGCCCTCACTGTGAAGAAAGCTTTTCATCCAAAAAAGTCCTTGACTGCCACCAGAAGTGTCACAGAGCAGAAGTGGGCAACAGACCTTCCTACAGCCTTGTGAAGCATCAAAACATGAGGCTCTATGAATGTTTGGCTTGCAAGAAAACTTTTGAGCTCAAAGAGCAGTTCCTCCTGCATCAAAAGAGCCACACAACTCAGCAGTCTCACGAGTGCCCTGAATGTGGCGAAACCTTTGTTTGTAAGGAACTTCTTGACAAACATCAAAACTGCCACACAACATCCAAAAACAACAGAAAGAAGGCTAAGAAGGAAGGAAAGATAGAAAGTGCGCCTGAACCTACAAAAAGGAAAGAAAGCACAGCCCCTGTCTCTGGGGGCCCTAGATCACTGAACATTGGCCTCACTAGACAGCAGCAAGACCAAGTCAACCTCCATAAATGTCAGTTTTGTGGGAAATGCCTAAGGTTCAAAAGTTTGCTTGTGGACCACGAGAGAATGCACAAGGAAGCAAAGCCATATCAATGTTCCCAGTGTAGTAAAAGCTTCCTCCATAAGTCCATTTTGATGTCACACATGATGACCCATATGAAACAGGCGTCCAGAAAACATCCAAAGAAAGTTAAAAGCTTGGCTGTGAAAAGTGCCTTGGTTGATTCGGAGAACTCTCACAAAAGAGGAAATACCTCTAAATGCCCAGTTTCCAGAAAAATCATCACTCGTAGCTCTTACCGCGTTTGGGGCCCAAGAAAACAGGCACAGAAAAGACCCTATCGGTGTCAATATTGTGGGAAATGTTTAAGCACACGTGTCACGCTTGCTGATCATGAGAAACTCCACATGGGTGAGAGACCTTATAAATGCCACAAATGCACAGAAAGTTTCATTCGAAAACACCACCTTTTCCGACATCTAGAGAATCACCAAAGAGAAGTCTCCAATGGCGACGTCAAACGTTTGAGGATCCAAAGTCACCACGCTTTACCAGAAGGAATCCACCACGCACAGGAGACTCCTGAAGGTCTTCTCCCTGCAAGTGATGTCACTCGCCACTCGGGCCTTGCCAAGCACCCCAAAACCCCCACTCAGGAGAATTACGTATGTCAGCATTGTGGGAAACGCACGAGAACCAAAAGCTCCTTTGTCAATCATGGGAAAATCCATAGGGGAAAGCAACAGCCGTACCCCCCCTTGGAACGTGGGGAAAATACCTCCCAAGAAAAACCTCTGGCTTCCCACCAAGAAACCCATGTGAGGGGAAAACTCTCTCTGTCCTCAGACTCCAAGGACAAAATGTGCCCCAAAGATCCCCCCTTCTCCCTCAGGGTTCCCCATAGCAAAAAACAGCCCCAACTCTGTCAAAAATGTGGAAAAACCTTTGATAGTAACTACTCCTTCATCAGGCATCAACTGACCCACTCTGGGCAAAAGCCTTTCAGATGTGCCACCTGTGGAAAAGCCTTCATCCAGATGTGGCATCTGAAGAGACATGAGAAGACGCACCTGACAAGAAAATTCCACAAACAGCCCGTTGTAAGGAAGGTCAACCATGAAAATAGCCAGCCGGACCGAAAGCTCTTCAAATGCTCTCTGTGTGGGAAAGGCTTCTTTCAACCAAAGCACCTGAAAACACACAAGAGGATTCACCTGAATGAAGAATGCCGTAAACTATCTTCAATCATGGAGATAACACGGGCATTTTCTAATTTCCGGAGTGGCACAGCTTCTAAGGAGAAAAGCCAGGGAGATCCTGTTGGAAAAGCGTTGCTGCAGCTACCAACTCATACAGCTGAGGTTGTCGGCTCGCCACATGCCCAGGCATTAAAGAGACACCTCCTGGTGGCATTAGAAGAAAGATTAGACATAGGAGCTCCAGAAAAGCATATTACAACGCCAGTGCAATTATCTAGAAAATTCAACAAAAATATTTTGTTGGGCTATGGGAAAATCAGCCAGGCAGCGAAATCGGAGAGGAAACCAAGACGAAAGGACATATTCTCTACCCATCAGCCCAGGACCTGCTCCAAAAACGCCCATTCCCCAAGTCATAAGAAGGAGAAAAACCACGACGGCTGGCAATTGAGACCTCGGGCTTCCTCCATGAGAAAATCTGAGAGAGAAATGCAGCTTGTGGGGGAAAGGTCCAAACGTCGCTTTTGCCAACGAGAAGAACGAGAAATGGTCCGCCCGAACACATCCAACCGCCCCAGGAAAGTAAAATGTTGCGATGGTCCTCAAAGCGACCCCTCAAAGGATCTTGGCCTCAAACTGCCCTGCCAGAAAACGTTCTCCAGAGAAGCCCAAATGAAAGTTGCCAAAAGTGTTGCGCAAAGGGACACAGTCTCTGTGGCGCAGGAAAGGGAATCGCTTGAGGCCAACTCTGGCTGTCGGAGTTGTGAGAAAGAAAAATGCAAGCCCTCCAACGTCAGCGATCCGGCAGAATCCCAGCCTGTGCCACGGTTGTCCAAAAACAAGATCCCGCAGGACCACGAACGATTCTGCCCTCTAAATGCGTACTCAAATGCTGCCGCCCAGAACTTGGGGACAGCATCTTTGGCTCAGCAGCTGGGAGAGATCCAAAATCCACGAAGGATACAGAAGAGAGTAAAAGGTAGACGCAGCGTTGAACTGCAAACAACGCTATCGAGGAAGCTCCAAAGCTCGCCTTCTGAGGAAAAAGCCGCCTGTGATCAGCACGTCTGCAGCCAGTGCAAGAAATCCTTCCGTAGTCGGACCAATCTCTTGATTCATGAGAAGAATCACACTGAGATCAGACCGTTCCCATGCATCCAGTGTAAGAAAAGTTTCTTTTCTGTGACGGCCCTTAAGGTCCACATGCGGATCCATACGGGAGAGAAGCCTTTCAAGTGCTCCGAATGCGACTTTTGCTGCAATTTTTTGTGTAATCTCAACAAGCACAAGACCACTCACAGCCAGGAAAGACTCCACCCTTGCATACATTGTGGGAAAAGCTTCTGGCTGAATCCTAAGCTTGTGACTCATTTAAAGTTTAGTGGCAAGAAGAAGGCTTATGCCTGCCCTAGTTGTGAACAAGCAGCTGTGCACACGAACCTTCTAAAGCGGAAGAGGAAGAAGTTCTGATGTGATTTAGAAGCTGAATCCTATTGTGAGATAGGCCACATCATTCTTCCAGCACCTTATCTCTTTACACTCAAAATTGGGAACATATTCAAGCACTCTCTCTTGGCTTCCTTCCCCCCATGAAGCATTAGAGGAGGCCCCTGACAAACACCTTTAGTCCATAGTATCTCACCTCTTTGCCATTATCTCAATAAAATTCTTCTTAAGTTGGATCAGAAGATCACTTGTAGAACCCCTTCTTCCATTCCTCCAAGAATCTGGGTGAAGCTGCCAGAAAGATGCCCCACTTTGGTGAAAATAAGAGATTTTTATTCAGAAAGATAATCAAAATATTGCCCTTGGAACTTGAGATGATGGAGGAGAGGAGTGTGACCTACTTTGTATTCCATGCATTGTTTAATTACCTCTAACAAATGCATAAACATCAGTCTAGGTTTGTGGTTTTCCTACAAGGTGATAATTATTTTTTTAGGAGGTTTTTTTTTGCAGGTTCTTTGTATCTAGGACCAGCCACAAAGAATGTCGCATTTTGAGAGGGAGACGGAAGGCATGTATACTTCGACCAAATATATTCAAATGAGATCTCCTTATGTCCTATTTTGGCCATAATATTTTGAGTCTGTCTTGCAACTTTAATTTTAGGTCAGGGAGGGTGGTTGTAAGTTGGAATTGTTATCTTTGAATTCAAGATCAAAATTCGGGTCAAATTGACTCACATGTTCTCTTGAAAATCCAATAGATTCAATTATCAACATGTCTCCTTGTAGATAATAATGTCTGTAGAAGACATTATTTGAAGTACTATATCTTCCAATTTTTTGCCTATTTTTATAATGCTGATCTTACCTCATTCTCCATTCCTTCTCTGAATTCCTAGTTTTCAATGTAAGGTAGCAGCCATAATACAAATGATTGTTTTATCTTTGATTAATCATGTTTAATTCCAAGTTGGTTCCAGTCATCTTGGACTTGCTGAATATCTTTACTATCATCTGACTTTTATATCTTGTTCATATATATGTCTTTTAAAATAAATGTTTTTTTAAAAATATATTGTTTTATGTCTGATCATCTTGAGGTTTTCTTCCCTCCAATAAATAGTGGACTCTTTCTGATAGAATGTAATTTTGGGATGAAATTCTTTTTATATAATAAGTGCATATTGTAAACAGCCAAATGCAGGGGTAGGCAACCTTGGCTCTTTTATGACTCGTGGACTTCAACTCCCAGAATTCCTGAGCCAGCCATGCTGAGGGGAAAGGGAGAGGTTTCCAAGCTGAGCCATGCTGGCTGAGGAATTCTGGGAGTTGAAGTCCATGAGTCATAAAAGAGCCAAGGTTGCCTACCCCTGGCCCAAGTATTTCAGCCCAAACTTCTTTATCAAATTTATATGCCACCCTTTTCGTGGTTTGAGGTGTCTGAGTTTCACATATGGGTTCATCTCATACGTTCTGACATTTTGCTTTTGCAGTGAAAAGTTCACAACATGCATGTTGGGAGATGACTCAGTTGCTTACTGAGCAATTACTACTATTCTACAGGATCTGTAGACTTCTATTCTTCCAGAGCTGTGAAGAAGACCCTCCACAGATGCAAAGCAAAAGATCTGTTGCGGCTTCTCTTGCAGCGCCATTGATTTTTCCCTTTTCAGCCATTTGACTGAGTTCAGAATATAGAATAACAGAGTTGGAAGGGGCCTTGGAGGTCTTCTAGTCCAACCCCCTGCTCAAGCAGGAGACCTTATAGTACCATTCTGGACAAATGGCTGTCCAATCTCTTCTTAAAAACCTCCCCTGAGGGAGGCACCTACAAGTTCTGAGAAGAACATGATCAATAGGGTTTCCTACTTGAGCAGGGGGTTGGACTAGATGACCTCCAAGGTCCCTTCCAACTTTATTGTTGTTGTTGTTGTTAGATGGCTTTAGAATGGGGTTAAGACAGATTCTTTTTTGCTACCAACATTCAGGGTAAAACTCAATGTTTAAAGAAAGTAGATCTTTCTGAACTAGATCATGGCAAACAGACATACATTCCAGTGGAAGTTGATCACTTGAACATGTGATAGAATTTGCACCCTCTAAATTCTAGGTTGGATCTCTTCATATATCAAACAAATGGTATCTTGAACACATAATAGTTTGCCAACCACAATGGCAGTGTTTAAAGAATATGGACTTAATTTGATGTGCAAAAGGTTTATTATGATTGATTCAACAAACTAGCTAGGTGTAAACAATTAGCAGCAGGGTACGTTTGGCTTTCTCCATATATATTCATGTGCAGGTTTTAGAGTTTGCTTTATAAATGAGACCTGCTTGAGTTTGGCTTGAGCTGGGACAATTATTGCAGTACATGAACCTGATCCAAGTTTGATTAAAGGGTCACTTTTATTTTTGTAATTGTGATCCACCAGACTATCTTCTGGTTTGGATTCAAAAAATCCTGTGATTCAGAATTAAAGAAATATGGTTATCATTTGGTACAAAAAGCAGGCTGTAGGCTTTTGAGACACACAGAACATTTAGAATAGAATAGAGCTGAAAGGGATCTTGGAGGTCTTCTAGTCCAGCCCCCTGCTCAAGCAGGAGAACCTATACCATCCCAGGCATGTGAGTGTCCAGTCTCTTCTTGGTCAGGTAGATGTCATAGAACCACAGAGTTGGAAAGGAAGCAAGGAGTCATCATGTTCAATACCTTGTCATGGCTGGGGAATTCTGGGAGTTGGTTCACATATCTATTTTTTAAAAAAAATATTAAAGAGTTTTTCAACAGAATAAAAGCACACTTGCAGAACTGATTAAAAAAAAATAAGAATAGTCTCCCGTTGCTCTTTTCTAATTGTCCATTAATCCCAGCAAAAAAGATTCTGGTTTCAGTTGAATATTAATTTTTTAAAAAATCTTTGCATTATTCTGTTTGTTTGAACCCAACATTTTCAGGCTTTTTTACACATCCACCAGGAATAATAAAATGATTGTGTTGTTCACATTTCCAATTAAATTTGAAATAGGTTTATACATTCTAATCTAGACAATTTTTCCAGAGTCCTATATCAACAATACATCATTTTATAATCTTAAGTTTTAATATGAATTTCAGTACTGTCCACCGTTCCAGCAATATGGTATCATTTTATCATACTGTCTTTCACTTGTTCTTCCATTTCAAATTTCAATAAAAGTTGATACATTTTAGGAATTACATGTTCACCATTTGTACATAATTTAAGTTCAAATTCTGTGTTCTGCTCAATTTAAAATGTTCTACTACTATGTCTACTGTAAATCTTTCTCTTAATTGAAGCCCACACATCTAAAAGCTGTTGAGGTTGAGAAACACTAGCATAGACGAATAGTTGTATTATTTATTTATTCACCACCCATCTTGCGGTCTTGCAAATCTGGGTGGCATACAATATGTCCGCAGCTCATTGCCTTCTAGTCAATCAACCACATTTTGTTTCAAGGTTATTCATTTTCTGTTTTCCATATTTGTTTACTAAATTTTATGTAGGTGGCTCCTAACATATTGCCTTGTGCAGACTGCAAAACAAATTCATATCAAGAGGATGAGTTCTTTATTGTTAGAAGATAGAATTTATAGAGGAGTAATCTATAGATCTTTGTGTAGCTGTTCATGTAGGCTTCATAAGGTGAGCAATTAGCTAATGAGATAATGGCAATTTCTTTCCATTGTTCCTCAGCATCAACTAGGACACATCCAGCCTTCCTCAATCTGGTTTAATTTGCTTCCAAAAAGTCATAGCTGCGGGGAGCAATCTCAGAAATGGTTGCAGTTACTTTAAAGAGCTGCAGACAGAAACTTGATTTGCACTGCTGCTGGTGGGGGGGGGACAGGGGGGCTTCAAAGCACAATTTCAAAATTACTTCCAGAGAGCTGCATAGTCCACATGTAAAGATCCAATACATCTAGTTCAGGGGTGTCAAACTCAATTTCATTGAGGGCCGCATCAGCATTGCGGTTGCCCTCGGGGGGGGCTACTGGGTGGGCATGGCCAGCTCTACATCGTTCGTGTCAAGGGTACCTGTGGGGGCCTGGGCAGGAGTGGGACAGATCTGAGGGTCTCTGGCAGAAGGGGGTGGGACTGGGGCAAAGGCCAAGGCATGGTGCATTTCTTCATTCCTCACAAAGGGTGACACCTCCCCAGCATGCACCCAGGGGACGGGGCCAATGTGGCAGGGGCTGGTTCCTCACTGTTTCCAGACGGCCTTGTGGAGCTAAGACTGAATGTGTTTCAGCATAGATGGCCACCACAAAATTGTACATTGGCTCCCGGCCGCCCTGGGCCAGGGCCAAGGCAGCAGGGGCCGTTCCCTTACTGTTTCCAGGATGGCTTCGTGGGCCACATGAAACCACTTTGCGGGCCGCACCCGGCCCCCGGGCCTTGTGTTTGACATGTCTGATCTAGTTGGTTCCAGATTAGAAAAGGCTGTTTTATCCCCATTTCATCCAGTTTATGCTAAGCCCCTCTCTTTGTTCTTTCCTCCAGTTGCAATTTACTGTAGACTTTCTGTTCATTTAACCCATTATTTTAATCTTCAATATTTTAAACCGTTCCCCCATGCATTACCCCCACCACCACCACTATGGTCTCTTACAACTGTCCCTGATTATCAGGCTGCTCGTTTCATTAACTTCTTTATTATTGGCAATTAGCACATTAAAGCATCAGAGGGCATGTACACTAATAAAATGCAGCCTGCACTAATGCAATCCACTTCGTTTCCAAATTAAACATGACATTGATATTATGTATTTTCTACAGTGGGAAAGTAGAAAAATGGACTGGATAATCTAGATATAAACAAGACAAAAATATTTTTTTTTAAAAAAAAGACTACATAATTCTATAATAGTCACTGTGTTGTTCTATAGTACAGTCACTATATAACATTTTAAAATATAGTACATGAAGTTTGGATAAGGGGCCATGGTATCGTATCATGATAACCATGAGGATTACCCTTGATGAAGACTTT